AGTGAAGTTGCGGCAAGTTTGAGGATCTGTTTAATATTGCCAATTGGGGCCGGCCCGGTGGCGCACTCGGTAGAGTGTGGCACTTGGGAGCACAGTGGCGCTCCCACCGAGGGTTCGGATCCCATATAGAGACCGGTCTGCTCACTGATTGAGCGCGGTGCGGGCACGACACCGAGGGTTGCAATCACGTTGCTGGTCACGGTACAGGCGTGACACCGAGGGTTGCGATCCCGTTACCGGTCACGAAAAAAAACAAAAAGGAAAAAATATATATATATTGCCAATTGCTTGGGCCAAGCCTGTGGCACACTTGGGAGAGTGCGGCACTGGGAGCGCAGCAGCGCTCCCGCCGCGGGTTCGGATCCTATACAGGGATGACCGGTGCGATCACAGCACTCACTGGCTGAGCGCGGTGCGACCGGTCTCAAAAAGGACAAAAAATATATATATATATATTGCCAATTGCTCAGAGTTCAGTGGTGCCCGGAATGGTGCTAGTGGAAATCTCTGGTTTTAACTCTCTCATAAACTCAAATGTGCTGCTTTATTTTTTTAAAGCAAATACCTTTCATTTTAACAAAGTACCTAAAATTGTGCATGTCCCAATAAGCCTTTGAGGTAAAAAAAAAAATAAAAATAAAAAATAAGCCATCTATGCCTGTGATGAGTCAGCGTCAGACATAACCAGGTCACACAGCTCAGTGGCGAGATCACTGGCCCTGGAGGGAAGCCTGCATGAGTTCCAGTCCCACGTGGGCTACTCATTTAGGGGACCCTTTGCAAGCCAGATCGCTTGCAAATTATTTAGCTTCACAAAACCTCACTTCCTTGGCAGGGCTGATGTGAGGGTTTAATGAAGTAGCCTGGTGGAGACAGCACACTGCTCAGAACACAGTCGCTGATAAATGTGCCCTCGCCCTCCAGCGAGGGCTCGCTCGCTCCCTGTCCCACTCGGATCTGTCATGACAGATATTCTGATTCTCAGTAACTGAGACACACCAACAAAATCTTGTCCTCAGAAAGTTTACTTAGAAACACCGATTTGAGATAATTCTGTATACAATGGGCTTTGGCCGTGCTCGTGAACGCTGGCTCCGTCCTCACAGTGACATGCCTCAGCCAAGCGGTGTCTCTGGAGTGTCTTTCCTTACCCTTAAGATGAGCAAAGCAACACGTGTGTCCAGGGTCAGCGTGAGGACAGGGTGAGGTGACGTGTGTGAGCACAGTGCCTGCTCAGTCTAGGCACCGGAGGGGTGGGGACTCTCAGCAGGTCAATTAGAGTGACACCCTCGGCAGTGCACCCTGGACAGGCATGGACCGCTTCTCCGATATGCCCAGCGCTGCTCTGAGGGAGGAAAAACTAGAATGCCAGCATTGTGTGTGCCAACATCCGTGCTCTCAATAGACACAGAATACACGTCATGTACACACACCTCTTATGCCCCCATAAGGCTCTGATAAAGTCTTTTATCAGAAGTGGGGGTGACATTTAGTAGAACGTGCCTCTCCCTCTCTTTCTGGGTGTTTCTTTGCAGCTGGCCCGCACGGGGATCCAAACCCATGACCTTGGTATTATAAGGCTGCGCTCTCAGCCCTGGGCTAACCGGCCAGCCCTCTCCTCTGCTTTCTGGGAAGGGCTTACACTGTCCTGTGAGCCACAGGATGCCAAGCAATGAGAGTCACCTGTGTCTCACTGCGTCTTTCACTCTCCTTGTTCAGGAATCAAAGGAAATGGGGATGCGTTTGCTTTATGAATGACATAAGCACTACAAAGCACACTCACGACCACAGGCCCAATGTCGCTAGTAAATATCCCAAAAATCCTAACATTCCCCGGAACCAGGCAGTACCTTAAAACAGTAATATATTACAACCAGATAAAATTAATTCATAGAGTGTAAGTGTGGTTCGGTGCTAGGAAATCTATTTTAGAAACTTAGCACACTGATATGACAAAAGGGAAAAAATCACGATTATCTTAGTAGATGCTGAGTCATTTGATAATTCAACATGCATTCCTGGCCTAACAAAAACCAAAACCACAACTCTCAGTTAACTGGAATAGTTGACCTTAACACAGTGACCAAAAGGCAGCATCGTGCTTCCAGGAAAAATACGAAAAACATCCTCGTGAATATCAAGCTAAAACAGTATCATTTAACACAGTTCTGAATGTTCAACCTAATACAGAATATTAAGAGAACTACATAAGATGTACAAAAACTGAACAGAGGTAAAATGATTTTATTTGCAGGTGACATAACTGTACACTTGAAAACCCCAACGAAACAAGGAGAAAACTAAAACTCATTTTTTTTAAAAAAAGTAGATAAGGCACTGATTACAATATTTCTAATTAAAATCAGCACACTTCTGCATGCAATGAGACCACACAATGGAGGTAAGGGTTCCATTCACACCTGCAGTAACAGATGGGATACCCAGGAATGACCTCACCAAGAAATGCAGACACCTACCTGAAGAAAATTTGAAAATAATAATGAAATACAAAACAACACTTACGGAAATGAACAGGAAGATTCAAAGTTATAAAGATGTCAACTCTCCCTAAATTAATCTATAGACTCAATATGAGTCTATTAAAATGCTAATAACTAAGAAAACGTCATCAAATAACTCAAAATAGAACTTGAATGATAAACATGTGAGAATACTCAGCAAGCACCTGAAACAGAAGAATGAAACCATCCTACCAGAGTTGATTAAAACAGGTTGCTTTTGGACAGAAAGAGAAGTATCAGTGAAATATAGAGTCTAAATATATACACAGACACACATCTAGTATAAACATACGTAAATTTAGTATTAAAACGGCATTTCAAATCAGTGGCAGAAAAGGATGATTCAAAATTGTCGTGAGAACTTGTTATTTGTGGGAAAATGCCACTACGACATCATTCTCTAAAATGAATTATGGGCGAAGCAAAACTTTAATATTAAAATATAACAAATTAGTAGAAGAAAAACATGAGTGAATATTTTTAAAATCTGAGAGTGAGTAAGGCCTTTCTAAGTGTGACCCAAAACAGATGTCATAAAGAAAAAAAACCCCACATATATCTGGCTTCATAACAGATTAAGATGCATTGTACTGCGAAAATAAATGAAGATATAAATAAACAACAAACTAAGGAAAATCTACGACAGCACCCAGGAAAGGCTCATTTCCTAAATATACAATAAACTACAAAATTATCACACAAAGATAATCAAAGAGAAGATCAGCAAAGGACACGAACAGTAGCTTAACAGAAAAAGAAGCTTAATAGAAAAAGAAATGCAAGGTTGCTCAACCTCACTCATCAAAACTACAGCCAAAGCTGGATACTCGGTTTGCATGGAAAAGATTAGTAAAAATGAATAAATCTCCACTACTACTAAGACTACTCTTATTAAAAGATGAATGAGTAAACGTTCATGAGCATTCATGAGCATTCCAGGAGAATGTAGCATGAGCATTTTGGCAACATCTACGTAAATTTAAAATGCACAGTTTGGCAGAGCGGTTTCTAGCAATGCATCCTGTGGCTACAGTCACATATGCACAGGGACGTTTTTTTCAGGATTTTTCTGTAATCACAAAAACCTGGAGCCAACAAAGTCACCAAACAATGCGAAATTATGATCTATCGACTCACTGTGACTAGATACTATGCAACCACAGAACAAAGACAGCGACTTACGGCGACAGGTACTAACTAATGTGAGAAGACGTCTTAAAAATACTGAATTACTAAGTGAATAAAAAGCAAGATGCGGAACTGTACGTACGAGGGTCTTCAAAAAGTCCAGGGAAAGATTCGTGTTATGTTTCAATTCTATTTTTCCACAAAATGTTTGAGGTACCCTTGTACAGTATGGTCCAAGTTCTGGGGGAAAATGTCCTGAAACTCTTTACCTGCGGTGAGTGGATGTCAGGGGCTTGGGTGGGGGCAAGGACTCTGGCTTTCTGCTTCACACCCTCCTGCACGGTGGCAGCTTTCTCAGTGAGCTGCATCCCACTGGAGTCTGCTCAGGTCCCCGATCCCTCCTCTGCACGTCCCAGTCTTGGCCATTCTTCAAGGAGCAGCTCAGATGCCAACGGTTCCACGAGAACTGCCTAGACCCCTGCACGCCGCACCTCTCTCTTCCTTCTCTGCGTTCCCAGTGCACGCAGCGGAGCAGTTAGTTATTCTCCCATTTATGTGTGGACTTTTTCCAGTGTCAGGCGTCTTTTTCCTTTCTTTGGGGCTGGTGCAGGGCCCTGATCCACTTTAAGCGTCTTCAGAGAATAAAGAATGCTTACGTCTATGTTGTCCTCCCCGCCCCCACGTTCCAGTCAATGTGAAACACGGCACCGGTTACTTCTAAACAGGTGACAGTTCCCTCAGTGTCTACACATGACGTACTTTAAAAATTGCAAAACCTTGTCACTTAGATTCTAGGTCTTGTGGCTTATATTTTCTTTATTGAGGGATGTGCGGATGGTATAAAATTTACTTTTCAGAGTAAATTCACACTTTACTCTTTTTCTGAAATTCTGAAATTTTCCATTCAAGGGAATCCTTAAAAATTGAGGTTTGATTTATATGCAATTCTGACAGTAAGCGGAACATTTATTTCAATTAGCTAACAGCTTCCTAAGTATCCTCCCCACATAAATAAACCAAACAAAAAACTAGGCTCTTCAAACATTTCAGTAACAAGAACGTAAGAATATTAAATCCTAATTAAAGAGAAATAGATCATATTGTAATATTGATCAATTTTATCCAGTGTAAAAATTTTTAAGCTTTATTTTTATAAAACATTTCAGATTCCCTCATATTGCAGCATATTGATAAGCGAAATGTACACATACTGATTTTATACCACATGTCAAATCCATATCAAGTTGCAAAATCCAAGTGCCCATAATTAAACCATAGGTAGTATTTTAAACAAAAATAAGTTCGTTTTCAGCACTTAAGTGAAATGAGGCTTTAATCAAAGAGACTTAATTCCATTGTAAAAATTTTTAAGCTTTATTTTTATAAAACATTTCAGATTCCCTCATATTGCAGCATATCGATAAGCGAAATGTACACATACTGATTTTATACCACATGTCAAATCCATATCAAGTTGCAAAATCCAAGTGCCCATAATTAAACCATCGGTAGTATTTTAAACAAAAATAAGTTCGTTTTCAGCACTTAAGTGAAATGAGGCTTTAATCAAAGAGACTTAATTCCACGGGCTGTCTTTTTTCCCCAACAGCAATTAATTCAGTCCAGCCTGTGAGTCTAAGCTCCGGTGACAGCGTTAAGGCTTGAAGCACACAGCAAAAGGCAACCAGTGCTTAAGTGGTACATTTCAGTGTATTTCTGGACAATCGCTAGTTGCATTCAATTTTTAGAACTTGTTCTGGAGTCTAATGTAACAAAAAAGAATGAGCAAGAAGAGCTCTGACTCCACTTTGAGGAAAGGAAGGGAACTGCTGTCTGGGCACACGGGGACATCACAAGGCTGGTGGTCTCTAATCAATTCCCACACTAATCGATTCACCAAAAGCATACTCCCTTCGGCCACAACTCTGATTCAGGAACACACAAAGTTTAACAGAAGAAAATTCTGTACTTCCAGTTTTAAAAAGCAGTCAGTTCTATGAAGAAGCACCACTTAAACATCTAAGTATACACATTGAAGTTTTTACAAATTCACGCCTTAAGAGGAATTTTGATTTCATAAGTATCATTTCACAGACCCAGCACCATATCTTTACCCAATACGCGTTTCATACAATGTATCAGAAACCATAGGTGGTACAAAATAATTGTAATAATCACAAAATTTTATCTAATTCAAGTTTCCAGTGTTCCTTAAAAAGACAAATTGTAACTGTATTTCACAGACCCAGCACCATATCTTTACCCAATACGCGTTTCATACAATGTATCAGAAACCGTAGGTGGTACAAAATAATTGTAATAATCACAAAATTTTATCTAATTCAAGTTTCCAGTGTTCCTTAAAAAGACAAATTGTAACTTTGTTCAGCTGAGATATCCAGTTATGGTTGTCTAGAAAATCCTCAAGTTATGTGAAAAAAATTAAAAATTAAATCAAAGAAAATCTGTAACTGATAATTTTCAACCTTTTAAATATGCACAGCTTAAAAAAAATAAATAAAAGGGCTGGTTTGGCACAGGAGTGATGAAATCAAGCAGTTTTACAACTGAGCCACTATTTGGAATTTGTTTTTGGTTTTACGTTAAGTTTCACAGCCTTAATACCACCATTTTTATTCAGATAAAAGAAATGATCTTTTGAAGTGGGCATCAAAAAATGGCACTTATGGACAAGAATGACAACTAAAAGCTAGGGAAACTCGGATGTCAGCTAGCAGCTCCTCTAAATCGTCAATAAATGATACAAGCAATAGTTTAGAAACCTGGGGAAGCTCACGTTTCTTTGGTTTTTTTTTTCTTTTTATTTTTGCTTTACTAAACAATCTGAAGGAAGCATTATATTCACTTTTAAAAGCAAAGCAAGGAAAATAAAAAATAAAACAAGAAAAATGGAGCACGGGGCATTCTAGGTCACAAAAGGTTTTCTTTGCCTTGGGTACCCTGTCTCACCTGTTCTCCACGTTATTACAAAAATACAAAAACAAACCTCTGCTCACAGTGGTCATGCTTGAGAACACTGGGATCTGCATATGATTTTTTCTAATTTCCCATCCATCCAGACTATCAAATCTAAATATATATTTCAACGAAAACTTTCTTTCCATTTGCATGAAGTCTGAGCCACTATATAACCTACACAGGGGTGGGTGGGAGTGGGAGGAGAGATAACTAAAATCACTGGCTGCCGCCAGATTCTTCAGTGTTTCTGTTTGTTATTATTTTTCAATATAAAGAGAAAAGCTCTATCTGGAAGTTCACACAATTCAGGAATATGTTGGGAAAAAAATTAATCACAGTCCTTAAGATTTCCAAATCAATACTCCCCTATCAAATACCACGACGCTACTAATTAGCAATGGAAAATAATCAGCCATTCAAATTGTGTTGGAAACGTTTGCTGAATTGCTTTTATGAAAGCTTCCTCTTGCATTGTACACGGACGGGAGGAGCAGCTGAGTCCACACGCTAGCTAGCTTCAAGAAAGAATTCTTTTGACTAAAATTTACTCTGAAACCACCTTTCCCAACTCCTTCCTTTTCCTCACATGTTCAATCACACTTTAAGGAGGGGCAGTACAGGACGCAGGGTGTGTTATATGGCGCTGTACCCTTTAAGAAACCTGACATTTAAGGGAACTGGGAAACTTTCACGACATGCTTAAACTCTATGTATTTATAGATACTATTTCTCTGTGCTGCATAATACACATATGTACACGTACTGTGAGAAAGTGTGTTAACTCAAAGGATAAGCTGCAATATTATAGTGTGATCACACGTTCATTAGAGCATTAGCATAATTTAAAAGGAAAGCATACTACATGTGACATGTCTCAGTAGTGTCAAGACTTGTTATTCGGGCTTCGTTTGACATTATTTTCTCTCTTCATTTTGTATTTCTAAGAGAGCTCTTTTTATTTTTAAGCTGTGTTGGAGGCTATAAAGACTATGCTACCGCAACCTACTGTAAACTATAGGTACAAGCAGCGTCTGCACGGACCCACGTCTGCACGGACCCGCGCATCAGACCACTGACGTCGTGCTCTCCGGGTTCACGCGCACAAGCCTCGACGTGCTCCTCAGGTCCTGCAGTTGCTTGGCAGGTTTCCCCACGCCTTCCTCGAACCTTCTCTCCACCACGGGGAGCACTGTCTCGTACAGGAAGGACGCGTTCTGTCTGATGAAAGCCTTCTTCTCCGGGTCCTGCTCACAACGCAGACTATAATCCACGTGCTGAACAGCCACCAAGATGATCTCCACCAGGCTCTCGAGAAGCACCATGTGCAGCTCCGGGAAGTACAGCTTCAGCGCCTCTTCCAGGAAGCCCATGGTCTGCTTGGTGAAGGCCACCACGGTGTAGCTCAGGTTCACCCAGCAGTCGTCCCCTGTGTACTGCTCGAAGTTGCTCACCCCGCAGCTCTTCATCTCCTCCTTGAGCTTGCCCAGGGCCTCGGGGGTCATCAGGTTCATCCTCCGCCACAGCTCCTCGGAGTTGCGGTGCTTCGTGGCTTCGATGATGATCTCCTTGTAGCAGTGCAAGGCGCCCTGGATGTCCTTCACCAGCAGGGCGTGCACGATGAAGGTGAGGTCCAGTCCGATGTCCCCCAGCTGCTGGCAGTGCTCCTTCGCCACTCGGACACACTCGGCCGCTGTGGACAGGCTCTCCTTGCTGTCGAACACCTGCTTGCTGAAGGCGTCCACGAACGTGCCCATGGCCGACCTCGCCCACACCACGAAAGCGGAGTAGCAGCCGCTGTCGGTGCCTGCGAAGTCCGTCTCGAACTCCCGGGCAGTCTCCAGGAGGCTGGTGAAGAAGACGTGGCACAGCTTGTGGATGTAGAGCGAGGTGGCGCCCTCGATGCGGAGCTGGCGGATGGCGGTGCGCACCGCGGCCGCCCGGTTTCTCAGGAACAGCTCGCAGGCCTTGGTGCCCTGGCCGAGGCGGACCAGCTGCGACACCGCCCTGCGAGTGGCCTTGGGGCCGCCGCGCAGGGACCGGTCCGGGGACAGCTCGAACACGAGCACCTCGGTGAGCTGCCGGACGCGCTCGTCCACGCGGGCCCGGAGTTCTTTCACGTGGGGCGGGCTAGGCTTGTCCTGCAGGTACCGCTCCAGCTTGTCCAGCAGGTCCACGGCCCCCTCGAAGTCGCGCTGGGCGATGCACACGTCCAGGTCTTCAGGCAGCTCCTGCACCCACTCCGCCGACAGGTCCACCTTGTCCTCGTCCGCCGCGGGCGCGGCCGGCTCCTGCTTGTCCTCGTCCTCGAAGGGGTTCCCGGGCCTGGGGGCCCCGTGCGGCGGCGCTCGGGGGGCGGCCGCCGCCTCCTCCTGTTCGCGGCGCCGCTTCT